GGTGTTAACGAGCAGTTGGACAGGTGTACCTAATAAAGCGGCCGGTCAGTGTATGTGGAAGCCCATATTTGAATATGTGTCACATTGATGCAAAGCATGGAAAGAGAACACTCCAATGGATGCCACTTTTCTCAGCCAAAAACAGAAAACTCAGGCTAAAACGTACACAGGCTCACCAAAACTGGATAAATAACAGACTGTAGTTTATTCCAATAAGTCCAGATTTGAGCTTCTACATTTGGAATGAATAGGATGAAGGCATGGCTTTCAACAGCTCTGGTTTGTGTAGGCTGGTGTAATGGAAAGGAGAATATTTCTCATTGCACTGGACCCTTGTGCCTTTTTGCCACTAATACCACCTCTATCTGATTCCGTGATGATAGATTCTACTTTTCAGTCTTTCCATTACCAACCTTTAGGGATGTCCTGATCCAATATTAATATTGTATGTCAGTCCGATATCAGCCAAAAAACTACTATAGGATTTAATCAGCCAGCAACTTAGATCTTAAATATTTTTTATGCTTATGGAAACACTGTTTCTGTTAAATGTTTCTGTAACGCATAGGTTACTCTTACATGGGTCAGTTGTTTTCACACCTTTTCGATGTCTACATTTGTTTTCTGTTTTAGTAATACTACTTGATCAAGCCTTTTCTAACATGCTACAGTATAAAATAAGACAGTATAAAATAATAAAAGCTGGTATTATTTATACTAACATAGTATCATGTCATGGGTATCAGCCGGATCTCACAGCACAAGTGCAATATCAGTATTGTATCTGAAATGAAAAAAACATTGGATCTGGACAGCCCTACTTACCCTAACCCAACTATTTTAGTGGTTGCTTGCTTGTAGCTCATACCGTCCGGAGTTGCCCTGAAATCTCAATGTCAGAGGACTGTTGGTCACTGATTGGTTAGTGGGCATTGTCAATGTTCACACCTTATTTTAATAACTCATTTCTTCAACCATTAATCACTTTTATGCTGGGCTTATTGTCTATCTGTATCTACTAGGGCAGAAGTAGTAGGTTGTATTAACAGTATGTACCACTGGTAGGTAGCATTGGCTTATCTTTACATGTGCTGCAGCTCGTATTCTTCCATTTTAATAATGATAATACTTTTGGACTGGTAATGCACTTTATATTTAAACAAATCCCAAAGTGCTACATAGTAATTTTGTACCACATACCATCGTCTTCTCTCCTTTACATATCCAGGTTGCTTCATCTAGCTGCCCACAGCCTTCCATGGTCCTCATTTTAAACTCTAAGTCTGAAAACAGCCATAAACAGAGCAGACTTTATATTGGTGTATCTGCAAACTATGTTACTTCGGACAGTGAGGCTACATCAACAGTAAAGTCCCTACCCTACCCCCACTGAAATATTAATCCATTGTAATAAAAAATAAATTAAACCGATTGAACTGACACGAGCTGAAAAGGTTACCATTGAAAAAAGGCATTGGTGACTATTCCAAACCTACACCTTAGCCTATCTGAGTATTGTTGCCAGTATCCCAACCGATCTTCTGGATGGGGGATCATTTTTCTTTTCTACACAGAGCCAACTATGGAGCTAGTTTATCAATAACTTTTTTAGTGCTTCAATGTTATTTATGTTTGTCTGCTTATGCTTCTTAGAATCCACATTCTGCCTGGGAAGGAGGGCGCCCACACTGAGTCAGGTTCTGTTGAAGATTTCTTCCCTTTAAAGTGGAGTTTTTCATCTTCACTGTTGCTGCATGCATGCTTTCTCTGAGGGATTGCCGTAGAGTCAATGACAAAATATAAGCACATACTGTAGCCAAATTACCAGATTGCAAGCATGTCTTGCATTCATTAACTTGAAAGACATAGTCCTCCAAAATGAGCTTGCATTTTGTTGTTGACTTAGCAATCTCTCACA